ACAGTTATACTAATAGACATTTGCATACCCTTGTTCATTGCAGCATTATTCATAATAGCAAAAAGATGGGAACAGCTTAAGTGTCCATTCATGGATAAATGAATAAACAAAATGTAGTATGTGCAATGGAATGTTGTTCTTATGTGCCATTAAGTCACCTGCGACCCTTAGTGACCCTATGGACAGCAGCTCTGAACCCTACCTTGTCCTGAACCAGTCTCACTAATTCTGACACACCAACCCTCATTGTCCCGGTTACTGTATCAATCTATCTCATCCAGGATTTTCCTCTCCTGCACTGTCCCTCCACCCTTCCAAGAATGATGTCCTTCTTCAAAGACTGGTCCCTCCTGGCCACATGCCCAAAGTGTGTGAGATGGAGCTTCAAAATCCTAGCTTCCAAAAAGAAACTTGGTTTTACCCTCTCTGAGACAGACCAACTTGTTTTCTTGGCAGTCCATGACATGTTCAAGACTCTTCTCCAGAACCACAATTTGAAGGCATTGATTCTTTTACTCTACCCTGAGTCATTGTCTAGTTCTCTGAAGCATAACAAGTAATTGCAAAGACCAAGGCCTGAATTAGGTACACCTTAATCTCTAGGCTGATATCATAGCTTCTCTGGAGAGTACCCCAACAGCAGATTTTCCCAATGCAATTTGTCTTTTTTATTTCCTAGTGGCTGGTGCCAAAAGTGTTGATTGTGGAGCCGAGCAAGCTATATCTGTTAATAACCTCAATCTTCTCTCCACCTATCATGGTGCTGCCAGTTGGCTCAATGGTGAGAATCCTTGTCTTCTTGATGTTGAGCTTCAATCCATATAGAAGGCTACAGTCCTTGACCTTCTGCAGCAAGCGCTTCAGGTCTTCTTCAGTTTCAGCAAGCAAAGGTTGTGTCATCTGTGTAACATAGGTTGTTGATGAGTCTTCCTCCAATCTTGATACCACAATCTTCCTCATAAAGCTCTGCTTCCTGCATATAGATTGAAAAGGTACGGAGGCAGAATGCATACACAATGATAAAGTGATGAGGAGTTTACAAAATATGTTATAACATTGATAAATTTGGAGAACATTATGCTGAGTGACATAAGTCAATCACAAAGGACAAATATTTTAAGACACCATTTTTATATAAAAAATCAAGAATAGGGTTACACACAGAAGACAGCATTCTTTAATACTAAGGATGAAAAAGAGAGAGAAGGAAAATAATTTACTACTTTATTGACACAAGTTAATTCTAGTGAAGGGACAGGCAATATACAATATGTGGAAAGTCAGTACACATGACCAAGGTAAAGATACTGAAAGATGTGAGAGAATAAAACTACACTAAAGGCTGTAACATATAGAATCCTGCAATAGCATTAATGTTGTTGTTGTTGTTGTTGTTGTTATGTGCCATCGAGTCATTTGCAACTCATAGCGACCCTATGTACAACAGCCCTAAACCATGCTCTATCCCGTGCCAATCTCATTGTCTCTGACACACCCATCCCGATTACCCCAGTCACTGAATCAATCCACCTCATAGAGGGTCTTCCCCTCCTGCGCTGTCCCTCTACTCTACCCAGCATGATGTCCCTCTCTAAAGACCTGTCTCTCCTTACAACATGTCCAAAGTATGTCAGGCGAAGCCCCAGAATCCTTGCCTCCAAGGAGCAGCCTGGTTTAATCCTCTCTATGATGAACCTGTTTGTTTTCTTGGCAGTCCATGGTACATTCAATACTCTTCTCCAGCACCACAGCTCAAAGGCGTCAATTCTCCTACTATCCTCCCTAGTCATTGTCCAACTCTCTGATGCATAACAAGTGTTTGCAAAAGCCATGGCCTGTATCAGGTGCACCTTAGTCTCCAGAGAGACACCGTTGCTCTTGAATACTTTAGAGAGGTCCCTAACCGCAGACTTTCCAATTGCAATACGTTTTTTTATTTCCTGGCTACTGGTGCCAATAGCAACCAAAAATTGGTGAATAGTTACATACATAAATGGGTACAGAAGGGTACGCGCATTTAGGTATACAGGTATACTTGGCATTTATCTGTGTCTATTTGTATGTACTGCATATATATTAATTTGTGTAACAGAGCACATAAGAAGCCCCAATAGGAAACCTTCTGAGACACAGCCATATATCTCATGGGACAAAGTTACTGGGATTGAAGTCTAAGAACCATAGTCTTGGGGGATATCTAAGTCAAATGGCATAACATGGTTCATAATGATAATGTCCTATATCCTAATTTATAGTGAGTAGCGACTGGGTCATAAAAGTTTGCAAGCAGCCCATCTAAGTAAGATACAACTAGATCTAAGATAGAATTCTCTGGAGCAAAGAAGAATAAAGGAAAACAAAGACTCAAAGAAGTGATTCATTTGCAGGACTAATGGCTGACATAAACCACAATCCCCTTTAACCTGAGACAAGAAGAACTAAATGGTACCTGGCTACCACTACCAATTGTTCTGCCCAGGTGTACCATAGAAGATCCCTTTATACTGGGAGAAAACTTTAGAATAAAACTTAAATTCCTAAAGAGATCAGACATACTGAACTAATTTAGAGACTTGAGGAACTCTGGAACTATCACCTAAGACACTCTTTTGAGCTGGAACAGAAGCCACTGCTGGGGATCACCTTCCAGGAAAATGATAGATTGTTGTTGTTAGGTGGTGCTATCAATTCAACAATGACTCATAGCAACCCCATGAACAATTAATCTGAACCTTGCCTTATTCTGTGCCATCCTCATCTCTGACATACTTGAGCACATTGTTAGTCATCACTGGATCAATCCATCTTGTTGAGAGTCTTCTTTACTTTCGCTGACCCTCCCTCTACTTTTCCAAGCATAGTGTCTTTATACAAGGACCAGTCCCTCCTAAAAATGTCCCCAAAATATATGAGATGAAGCTTCACTATCATTGCCTCTAAGGAGCACTCAGGATGCACTTTCTCTAGGACATGTTCGTTTGTTCTTTTGCCAGTCCATTGGATATTAAATATTCTTCTCCAACACCACAGCTCATATTATTCTTCTGTCATTCTTAGTCACTGCCTAACTTTCAGATAAATAATAAGTAATTGAAAAGATCATGGCTTAAAAAAAAAGATCATGGCTTCAATCAGATGCGCCTTAGTTTTCAAACTGACACTGTTACACCTTAACACCTTAGTGAGGTCCTTGATAGTATATTTATCCAACCAATGCAGTACATCTTTTGATTTCTTGATTGCTAGAGCTAAGGGTGTTGATCATGAATCAAAGTAAGATGGAATAATTGACAAATTCAGTCTTCTCTCTATCTCTCATGTGACTTATTATCCCAGTGATGAAGATTTTTGTGTTCTTGATGTAGAGAGACAGTTCATATGAGACAGTAGTCTTTGACCTTCCGCATCAATATTTTAAATCCTCTTCATTTTTGACAAGCAAGGTTGTGTCAGATGCATAATGGAGTTTGCTGATAAATCATCTTCCAATCCTGATGCCACACTCATCTTGATAGAGTCAAGGTTCTCAAATTTTTTCCTCAGCATTCAAATTGAATAGGTATGGAGAGAGGATACACCCCTGATGCATATTTTCCCTGATTTTAAACCATGTAGTATTCCCTTGCTCTGTTCACACAGCAGCCTCTTTGTCTAGGTATAGATTTCATAGGAGTACAATTAAGTGTTCTGGAATTCCCATTCTTCTCAATATTAGCCATAATGTGTTATGATCCACATAGCCAAATGCCTTTGCATAGTCAATAAAACACAAATCTTTCTGGTATTCCCTGTTTTCAGCAGGGATCCATCTGACATCAGCAGGGATATCCCTGCCTCTTGTAAGTTTAGCTTGAATTTCTGTCATTTCTTGGTCAATGTACTGTTTTAGTCATTTTTGGTGATCTTCAGCAGGATTTTACTTGCATGTGATATTAGTGATGTATTGCTGTTGTGTACCACAGAGAACCATCCCATAGCTGATCCTCCAGCAGGTATTCAGAGGCTGTAAATTGCACAGAAGTTGATTTCCCATATTTCTTCCATGCAGCAGCCAGTAAATTTCATCCACATGCCTTTGGTATGGAAGCATAGACCTATAAAATAGGCATTAATGCCCAGGATTAATGTGCTCATTAGGACAATCAATTATAACAAACCAAACTGGCAATGTTTGCCAAAAAGCAAAAATGAGAAGGCAGAGAGAGACAGGGAAGCTTGAAGAAGGAAGAAAGGAGAGCAGGGTAGACAGAAGGAGAATGCTGACACATTGCAGAGATAGCAACCAATGCAGTGGAAATTGTGGATAAATTGTTGAATAGGAAACTAATTGGCTGTGTAACCTTTCATCTAAAGCACAAGAAAATGTTAAACAACTTGTGGAATATTTAGAATATGGAATAGTATTTGGCGATAAAAGGAACAAATTCTTGATAGAACCCAGATGAGCTGTGCTGCTGACCCACAGGCTGCACCCCTCTGTAAGTTCGAATCCAGCAGCAGTTTCCAAGGAGAAACTTTCTTCCCATAAATTTACAGACTCCAAAAAGTCACTGGAGAATAAGCTCTGAGTCAGTTCTAGTTTGATGGCAATGAATTGACTATTTTATTGTTGTTAGATGCCCTTGAGTCAATTTTGTACTCATAGTGAGAAAGTAGACAAAAGTATTTTAAAGTTCCAGGTCTTAAAAGAGCATCTACTAGTAGAAACCCTGAGTGGAAAAAAGTCCAATATATTTGTCTGATGTGATAATAGTTCAGTGTTGATAGGTGGGTAGAATATTCCAGGGCTGGGCTTGACCATGTAATGGTACCACTGTTGACGGAGCCACATGTGAGAGATGTGGCAGGACTGGCAAGAAGGGCCATAATACTTCCTTAGTTTTTCAGTTGTTGGGTGCCATTTGGTCAGTTCCGACTCAACGACTCTATGCACAACAGAACAAAACCCTGCTAAAGCCTATGCTGTTTAGTTGAGTAAATTATTTTCTTCTCTGATTTAGATTCAGCTGACCTACAGAAAGCAAAGGGACATAATCTGAGACTAAATGAAGAAATTCTGGCCTTAAGAAATAGAGTTCGATCACTTGACTCAGAGAAAAAAATGCTTGGAAAAGAGGTAAGTGTTTCAGTTGTTAGAAAGTGTGTGTAGGCAGTAATATTCCCAAGCCTGAAACAGCATAGAGGACACTGGGTACATTGGTCACCAGTGGGGATAGTAGTGGCTGCAGCATTCCAGGCAGAATTACATGCTTCACTTTGATTTAGAGGCATTCTATAGGTATATATACTTCATACATTTTGAATACATGTTGTTTTTGTTGTTGTTATGTGCCATCAAGTCACTTGTTTGAATGCATACCTATGTCAATATTATTGCTATCATGTTGACTTAAGAACTTTTCTTTATAATAAAGATTTAGATAAGTGATACTTACACATTTACCAAATATAAATGGTTATTACATTGAATTCCTTTGATATTAATACTAAATCCTTAGGGTTTTTTAAAGTTTATTCTCAGCAGTTTATAGATTTTTATATGTTTATATATTTTTATATGATAAATGACATGTATCAATGATAAATGACAAGTATCTTTTCATTTATCCTGATTTCACAATCAAATTTCTAGTAGCTAATATTGGAAGCAGGAGTGGCATCCTCTTCCTAAACACGGTGCCTCTGGAAGCTCTATGAACTTTGATAAATGTCGATAGCTTCAGGCCTTTTGTTCACAGGGTCACTATGAGTCCTGCTCGACTAGACAGATATCAACAACACAACAGCAATATATGATATACACAAGGTGCTCAAGAAATTTTATTAAAAAATTAGTAAATAAATGAACACTTGGCATTTTTTCAGTCCTTTGTAAACTTGGCTATTTAGCTTTGTAAACTGGTTGTCATTGTTATATGCTGTTGCATCTTAAGTCTACTGTGATTGATAGCCACCCTATTAACAACAGCTCTGAACCTTGCCCTATTCTGAGCCAACTTCACCATCTCTGGCAAGCTTGCCCTATTCTGAGCCAGCTTCACCATCTCTGGCACACTTGACCCCACTGCTACAGTCATTGTGTCACACACTGTCTCATCGAAGATATTCCTCTCTAAGCCTTCATCTTTCCAAGTATAATATTCTTCTCCATGGACTGGCCCCTTCAGCATAGTAAACATATAAATTTGCATGCCTAAATATATTTGTGTATATATATAACACATATGCTCTTATACACAAAAATATAGAGTGTGTGTGTGTGTGTATAAAGTTCAAGAGGACTACATCCAAAATAGTACCATTTCTGTTAAAAGAAGATTGTGAGGGTAAGCATATGTGAAAATAACACTTTTGCTCTGTTTAGTACTCAATGTGTTTGAATTTTTTTTTTTTTTAGAACATAATTCACTTTATTTGTTATAGAAAATCCACTAGGTGGTGGCCACAGCTGGAGCCTGAGTCCTCTGCACGGAGACTCTGGTGTGAGTCTTTACAAGATGATCTGTGAATTCCTGGTAGGGAGACTTCGTGAACACCGTCTCTTTCCAGAGATCTGGGGTCAGATAGCTGTAGGTCTTTGAGATGGCATCAAAGGTGGCCTTAGCAAAGTTGCCCAGGGTCGCTGTGCAGCCCCTGGCTGAGGTGTAACAGTCAATTCCAGCCATCATCAACAGCTTCTTAGGCACAGGGGCCGAGACGATTCCAGTGCCTCGGGGTGCAGGGATCAGACGCACCAACACAGAGCCACAGCGCCCAGTCACCTTGCAGGAAACGGTGTGAGGCTTGCCAATCTTGTTCCCCCAGTAGCCACGCCGCACAGGGACAATGGAGAGCTTGGCTAGAATGATGGCCCCACGGATAGCAGTAGCTACCTCCTTGGAACACTTGACGCCCAAGCCAACATGGCCGTTATAGTCTCCGATGGCAACAAAGGCCTTGAATCTGGTCCGCTGGCCAGCACGTGTCTGCTTCTGCACTGGCATAATTTTCAACACCTCATCCTTGAGGGACATGCCCAGGAAGAAGTCGATGATCTCAGATTCCTTGATGGGCAGGGAGAAAAGATAAATCTCCTCCAATGATTTAATCTTCATATCTTTCACCAGACGGCCCAGTTTGGTGACGGGGAGCCACTCCTTGTCCTCCGCTTTGCCTCCTCGAGCTCCGCGGCCCCTCCCACGGCCCCGTCCACAGCCGCGGCCCCGACCCCGCAGACCGCTACCGAAGCCTCCGCGGAAACCGCCGCGGGCTCCCATCCCAGGGCCTCCAGGCCCTTCCGCTGCACCGGCGTCATCCGCCATTTGGTGTTTTCTCAGAAAAGCGTGTTTGAATTTTTATAAAGAGAATGAATTCATATCTTACGTGTATAATTTTAAAAGAGAGAAAATATCTTTCCCCAATTATAATAGACAAAACTGAGAAGTCTACACGGTTCTTACTTTTTTGAAATTTTATTTACTTATTTTTAATTTGGTGTACTGTCAAATTAGATCTGACTGGCACTGGAGGAGTTTGCTCCTTCTTCTCCAGCGGAGAATCTGGTGGATTCAAAACATGTACCTTTGCGATTGTAATGTAGCTTCTTGCCACTAAGCCACCAGAGCACCCTTAAGGTGCTCCCTTTTTATTTTTAAGGTTGAAAAGCTCAAAGGAGAGATTAATAAATTTCAAGAGAATGAACAAGTTAGAAATCACTCACTGTGAGTTCACACTGTGAGTGTGAATTCATGTCTTAGTCTTGTAATTTTAAAACAAAGAAAACTCACTCCCCCAAATATAAAAGACAAAACCAAGAAGTCTGCAAGCTGCTTACTTTTTTTTTAAAGGTTGAAAGACTTAAAAGAGAGATGCATGTATCTAAGAAAATGTGCAAGTTAGAAACTACTCACCTGCAAAAATTATGAGTACTGAACAGAGAGTACAGGTATTTAAAATTCTATTCCTTCTGATTTCTAACTTTTTTCCCCCTCCAAGTTGAATTTATTTGTGAGTCACAAGAGTTACATATGGTTCTTGTAATGTTGGTTAATAAAAAAATCCAGGTTGAGAATACTGATTTAGAGAGGAAGGCCCTCTATGACGTGGATTGATTCGGTGACTGGGATAATTGGAATGGGAGTGTCAGAGACAGTGCGATTGGCACAGGACAGAGCGGAGTTTAGGGCTGTTGTACATAGGGTCGCTATGAGTCGCAAGTGACTCGACGGCACATAACAACAACAACAACAGTTACAAAGCAAGCCTAGTAGACACTATTAAAAATTTGAAGTTCATAATAACAAATAGATGGGTGCAACTTTGCAAACATTATTGTTATTGCTGCCTTATTTGTTGAAGATACATTAATTTATCTGAAAGTATCTCCTTAATTTTTTTAAATGCATACAAAGGTGTACTATGTTCTAAGACAAACATCTGATTGCTAACTTTTGAAAGGAGTAATATTTTTAGAGAATATACTATTGTAATGAATAGTAATTATTTGCTTCTCTCTTCTTATTGAGCTATCTTTCCAGTTAGAGTAGAGGAAGAAAATGGAATATAGAATCTACTTCTGTTTACCTTTTTCCCCTAAGGGGACAATTAATATAAAGAATATAATTAATAGTTACTGTAAAGACAAAATAATCTCACAGATAGAACCAATTCGAGCATTTTAACCATCCAAGAGTTGCTTTTTAGAACTAAGAATTGTGGAAGAGATAAACCATACTGGAGGTCATAAAACATTATGAAGAACTTTCAATGGTTAGCTTTAGAATGGATAGTATTTAAGGAGCTCTGTAGGGAACTGTACTTCTAACCGAAGATCATGCTTCTCTGATGGCTTGATTCTACCGGTGGCTTTTTTGGAGAAAGATAATACATGTTGTTATTATTGCTAAGTGCTGTTGAGTCACGTGTGACTCATAATGATATCATATACAATAGCTCTGAACCCTGCTCCACCTTGAGCCAATTTCATCGTCTCTGATATACCTACCTCCATTACTCCAGTCACTAAATCAATCCATCTCCTTTAGGGTCTTCCTCTCTTATTTTGTCCCCCTTCCAAGCATGATGCCCATCTCCAAGAATTGGTCCCTCCTGGAAACATGCCCAAAGGATATGAGACAGAGCTTCAAATCCTTGCCTCCTAAGAGCAGCCTGGTATCACCCTCTCCAGGACATACCTGTTTGTTCTCTTAGCAGTTCGTGGTATGTCCAATACTCTTCTCCAACACCACAACTCAAAAGGCATCAATTCTTCTATCATCCTTAGTCATTGTCCAGCTCTCTGATATATATCAAGTAATTGTGAAGACCATGGCCTGTATCAGGTGCACTTTGGTCTCTAGACTGACATTTTTGCTCTTCAATACTCTGGAAATGTCCCTAACAGCAGATGATAAATGTACATAGTACAAAAGTCAAAAGATATACAGATATATACAAATAAATGTCACATCCTATTCCTCCTTCCTCTGCTCCCATTATGTAACCACTTTTATTAGTCTCCTGTTTATCCTTCTAGTATTTCTTTATTGAAACACGAGCAATTTGAATATTTATTCAAGTCTCCTCTGTTAGCATATTTTTAAATTAAAATTCTCTTAAAGATTTTTCTTTATCATTTAGACATCTTTTTATTTAGATCAATCTAGCAGCCTGTGTGTGAATGGACTGTAAATTATTTAATATTTCCTGCTGAGAGATATTCCACCCTCCAAGACTTTTGCTTACATTCACAGATGTGTCTGTAGGATAGGGTCACAGAAATGGGATTGTGTAGTCAGTGGATAGATGTTTCTGTAATTTTGGTAGATATTGCCAGATACCCCTGAGTGAGACTTGCTCCATTTTCCTACCCTATCAACAAGGGATCTCTGAAGATTTAGTGCTAAGGAATTAGTATTTTTAACCCAAAGGCATGCAGTTCAGATCCACCTGATGCCCTGTGGGAGAAAGCTAGACATTCTCCTCCCGTGTAATTTTCTGCCTCTGAAAACCTTCTGGAGAGTCAGGTGTGAGTTGGTTCCAATTCGAAGGTATATAACAACAACAACAATGTATGAGCATGGCAATTTTCTAAAAGGACCACCAACAGAATATATTTTCAACCTTTTTTTATTTTTCCTATGTAATAGGTGAACTGGGTAGAGTTCAAAAAACTTTCACAGACTGTGTAATCACATCTGTGTAATAACAACCAGAACCACAACAGTGAAAAAATGAAACATTCATTACCCCAATTAACTTTCTCCTCCTTTATTATCAATTCTTCCACTTCATCACTTTTGGTAGAAACCTATTCTAGAATTGCAAATAAATACAATTCTCCACTATGTATATTTTGTTTGGCTTCCCTTTTTTTCAGCATAATAACTTCATGATTCATCTATGCTGTTGCCTGTATCAGTAGTTCATTTTTTTCTCTTTTTTTTAAAATTAATTTTAATGAAAGTTTACAGAGACTTAGAGTTTCCAGTTATTCATTGTTGCACTTTTCTTCATACTCACCCCTTCCCCCCATTCACTCTTCTTGAAAAGAAAAAGAAAAACTCTTTCATTGTTATGCAATCCCTTCCCTCAAGTCCACTCCACTATGCAACCTTCACTCTGGACTTCTGTAATGACAAGAATACCCAATCATATATCCCTTTTAAACAGTTCTCTCTCTCATCTATTTCAATGCAATATGCATTGTTCCTTCCCTCCTTTTCTGTCTTCCTCAACCCTGATGTCAATCCTGTTTTACAACAGTTGCCCTATGCAATATTTGTCCTTTTATGACTGAGATATTTCACTCATCATAATATCCTCCAGGGTCATCCATCTTGCATAATATTTCATGAGTTCCTTGTTTTTCAATGCATCATAGTATTCCATTGTGTGAATATACCACAGCTTCTCTATCCACTTGTTTGTTGATGGGCACTTGGGTTGTTTCTAGCTCTTTGCTATTATGAACAAAGCCACAATAAACATGGGTGTGCATATATCTGCTTGGATGTCAGCTATGGTGTCTTCAGAGTATATTCCCAGTAGTGGAATTGCTGGGTCAAATGGTATTTCTATTTGCAACCTTTTTAGAAAGCGCCGTACAGCCTTCCATAATGGTTGCACCATTTTACACTCCCACCAACAGTGAGTAAGTGTTCCAGTTTCTCCACAACCTCTCCAGCATTTGATGTTTGCTGTTCTGCTAAATTTTGCTATTCTTCCTGGGATGAGATGATATCTCATAGTTGTTTTGAGTAGTTCATTTTTTTTACCACCAAGTACTATTCCTCAAAAAGGTTATAACATAAATTGTTTATTCATTCACTGGTTGATGGACATTCAGATTGTTTTAAATTTTGATTGTTAATGAATAAAGTTGCTACTAATATCCACATATAAATCTTGATGAGGATTTTAAAAAATTTTCTTGAGTAAAAACAGAAGTAGAATTGCTTTATTCTATAGTCTGTTTAATTCTGTAAGAAACTACCAGACTCCTTTCCAGAGTACTACTGTTTTACATTTCTGTCCACAATAGTATGAAATCTCCATTTGCTTCATAATTTTATCAACATTTCTGTAATTATAGCAGCCTTTTAAATTTTAGCTATTCTTGTGTATATATTGTGCTGTCTCATTGTAATTTTAATTTGTGTTTAATTTAATTTCAACTCACATGCTTTGAGCATGTTACTAAGAGGGGCTGCTCAGTGGAGAAAACTTGGTAAAGCTAAAGAGTCAGTGAAAAAGAGAAAGATCCTTGACAAGTAGTATTTGACATAGTGACAGCAACAATAGGCTCAAGCCTAGCAGTGACTGTGTGACAGCACAGGGCAGGGCAGTGTTTGTGCTGTTGTGCATACAGTGTTACTACGAGTCAGCATTAACTCCACAGCACCCAGCAGTAACACTGATGCTGAGTGTGTGTTTATTGATCATTTGTGTATGTTCTTTTATAAAAAAAATACTAGTTTCTTTACAAAATTTGAATACATTGTTTTTCATACCAGATCCTTGATGGGTGGGGGACTGAGGGAAATGTGTATATTCTTTTGTGAAGCATCTATTCACATCTTTTGTTCTCTCTCTTTTTTTGGGTTTTGTTGGGGTTTTGTTGTTGTTGTTGTTGTTGTTGTTGTAGGTATTTTTATAGATTCTTTCTATTTTTTAGATTCCAATCCTTTGTTAGATCTATATATTCTCTCTCAGTCTATGGTTTCCTTATCTTAACAGTAGGGTGTTAGTGTGTGTGTTTGTGTGTGTGCGCACATGTGTATGTGAGAGAAAGAAAAATCCACACCAGAAAATTCACCAATTTCTATGTGTGTAATTCAGTGATATTGTTTACTTTCATTATGTTATGCAAACATCATTACTATCCTCTTCTGAGTTTTGCTACCTTCTTTAGAATAAACTTATTGTTTCCTACACAAGAAGTCTCCAGCTTTCTCCCTCCCTCCCAAGCCTTGCTATTACTATTATTGTTAAATGTCACTGAGTTGATTCTAAATGATAGTGATAGCATGTACTATCATTATGTTATGCAAACATCATTACTATCCTCTTCTGAGTTTTGCTACCTTCTTTAGAATAAACTTATTGTTTCCTACACAAGAAGTCTCCAGCTTTCTCCCTCCCTCCCAAGCCTTGCTATTACTATTATTGTTAAATGTCACTGAGTTGATTCTAAATGATAGTGATAGCATGTAAAACAGAAGGAA